TGATTATAAAACCACTTAATATAGTCATTTTGTGTCAATCTGCTACACAATTTTTCACTACTTTTATTACTTTTAAATATACAAGTAGTAAGCAGAGATGGATAGTGGCTAGCAGTGGAATCCAGGACGCGCGTTTCGTCCTATTTGGGACTCGTCAGCTGGATGTACCTGCATCTCAGAGTTGATGTTCACTCTGGGACTCGAACCCAGTACCCTCGCTTCAAACGCCATCGCGTTATCCACTCGGCCACTGAGTCCTGATAGCCACTTGCTTGTGCGATGGGGTGAAGTTTGAATTCACTTAGTATTGTTTGTTTGGATCTTCCCATCGATGTGTTTAGGACTGCAACTGGTCAGTCTCTAATTGGCATATGTGCATACTGTGCGTATTGCCTCGATATACCTTAATTCACAAGCATGGTAAGCAAAGATGGATAGTGGCTAGCAGTGGACGAAACGCGCGTCCTGGATTCCACTGCTAACCACCATCCATCTCTGCTTACCATGCTTGTGAATTAAGGTATATCGAGGCAATACGCACAGTATGCACATATGCCAATTAGAGACTGACCAGTTGCAGTCCTAAACACATCGATGGGAAGATCCAAACAAACAATACTAAGTGAATACAAGTAGTAAATTCCACATGAAAAACCCAAAGAGAAAAATTCTTTTGATTATTCTATCATACAATTCATAAATGTTTTTTTCCTTAATTTATTTCTAATCTGAGTATCTGAGTCAACGATAATCGGTAAATTCGTTGATTTAAACATAAAAATTGGGGGGAGGGCGGGGGAGGGAAATTCTTTTTTTCCTAATGCACTAATGTTTTGTGATAATTGAATTCATTCAAGCGTATATATGTGTATGTGTGTGTGTGTGTTTGTATATGAGTATTATTATTAGCCTACTCATATATAAAACTCTTACAGATATCTGATGCATAACTGAATGTATATAGATAATGAAATTCAACTTTATATTGTTTTAATAAAATTCATTACAAGTTCATATTGAACAATTGAAATAGTTGTTTTAACTAATAACAAACATAATTAATTTTTGAATGAATGGATACATATATAGATATAAAGGTAAATAGATATAAAGGTAGCATTATTCAATTAATCCGAAGTATTAAATATAAATGGAGCATTGAACATTGAAATTTTTTTTATTTTTTTCCCCCTTTTTTTTAAAAAAAAATCCATCAAGTTTATTTCAACTTAGGTGTTTTATATTTTTTTTATTGTTTTTTTTATCAATAATTTAAATAAAGGGGGGGGGGTGGAAAGGTGGGTTAATGGATATGAAACCTTACATTTATATGATTTAATATTACCTCCATTATATACAATATATTATGATTTATTTGAATAGTTTTAGCATTGATTTGAGATTGAATATCTCGTATTTGTTAGTCTCGTTAACGTTGAAGATCTTCATTATACTTTGCAATAATTATAATTATCTGCTTACTATTAATTAATTTGGAGATGTAATTCCTGAAATTTTAGTGGGGGTTCATATATATGTAGAATAAAAATGTTGTCTCTAATGAAATGAATGATAACCAATGTATACTAATCCAGTGATTTTAATGATGAAGTATTCACAATGTGATCTGATGATTGTTGGTTAAATCTGTAGTAGGTTAGTGAATTTGCGTTGACACTGACAGGCCACAACAAGAAGATGAGAATGTGGGGAGATAAAAAATGATAGTAGAAAACATACTAGCAGAAGCAGTTCAGTTAAGAATAGATCCTTTCAGTTACACGATTTCTTCTCACTTATATGAAAAACATAGAAGAAAGTTACAACACGATCTCGGCTGCCTGTTAGTCCGAATCACGTCCGAGAACATCTCAAGACATTAAGTTGCATTATCTTCAGGATCAAAACCATGGAGTTGTGAAGGACAGATAGATACCAGTGCTGTACATCTTTCTCTCATATCATGACAACATCTCATACACTGACCATCTCACTATTTTTCTAACCAGTCTCAGTTAACCTAAATAAATTCATGATATAATATTCAGTGAGATGACGTTCACAGCACTTATTCAAGTCACAGAATTCGTTGTTTCAAAATGGTAACATTGTTTGCATTATCGTCAGTATCCGAGAACACAAATTTTCGAATCTCTGTGTTACAGACATGGGATCATCATACAATGTCAACAGTCCTTTGGATACAACGATGATCGAGTACAGAGTTGGCTCACATCCTTAACTCAAAGAAGTCAGATTTCAACAACACAGGACAAAAGTGATCTCACAGATGCCCTGTACACTTAAACTTATGCAGATGTACCTCACGAAGGCATCAAAACGGCCTCAGATTTATACAAGTCACTATATTCCAGACCAACATAGGCTGTTCTCGCTTTCACTATGCGTAGATTAACCTCGTCACTCACGACATCACCATCACTTGCACACTTACCAAAATACACGAACTACTCAACCACCTATGACTGCTCACCATCAAGGGCGATTTTACGCACAGACTTCTTCCAGCCTTGTGAGCATAGTGTGCACTGGAAATGTGCAGGCACATACCACATCCACATCCACTGATCGTCAACTGATCAAGTGCGCATTGCATTGCTCGGTAATCGTCGCACAATAAAACAACTTCATCCTAATACTCAAAATCGAAACGTCTTTCTACACGTAACATATGCACACCAACACTTACTACTTTCATTCACATTAGACTTCGTGCGTCAAGTGTTTCGAATGAATTGGACGGAGTCTATCAGTTATCAGATGCAAATGTTCTTTCTAACTCGTTAGCACGCTCTTATCGCCAGGGTTCTCGGTCCTGATACAAAAACTCTGTACAATTTTATTTCGTAAAAATCTACGTTTACCATCAAACTCGCTATTGATAAGAGTAGATTGACTTGCTTCAAGAAAATGTAGGGAGAGTGAAAAAATTTAATATTTATATGTGGGACGTTTCACGAAGCCGCAGGCAACTTTACTTGCCATTTTCACGACATTATGTAAATGTAATCAGTCCTCATCTATACTTCTCAGTAGCTTGATAGCTAACCGTGAACATACCTAGGCCTAGTTGCAATGGAATTCACCTCTATCAAAAGATAAATTATCAAACATGTATATCTATCTAGCTGTTACCCATGTTATTTTCATATTTAGTCATAGAAATCATCAGATAAATACAAATTAGAATCATTGAGTATCTAAACATCTTAATCATTGCAATGAATCTTTTCTATGATAACCACGAATAGTATTATAAGATCTTAACAATCCATTAAATGTAACAGGCTTTTCATAAATCACTTCTATATAAGTTCATCAGCTATAGATCATTCCTTCATTTATTCATTAATTAAACTCTAAATTAAAATTTAGCCATGATTTTTAATTCTATTCAGATTGTTTTTAATTATGAAGCATATTATAGAAACTATAATTTGTGTCATCTATTTAAATGACCTGAAATTCAATTTACCTTAGAATTTAAACAATAATAGTTTACTAGAGTAAGTAATAATGACCTTTATGTTTATTCTTAATTTCTAATGTATTCTGTCCTTAAAATGAGTAACTTAAACTTTATAAAATATGATTTATGAAAATGATCCAAAATATGAAATCGATGCACTGTGGATCGGTTGAAGTTATACATTAACACCGTCGGATACCAGTTCAGTGGTCTAGAGTTTGATAGTTCGTGCGCGAGACTGATAAGTCCTGGATTTGAATCTTGCGAGGTGGGATTGTGGATGTGCACTGCTGAGGAGTCCCACAATAGGACAAGATGGCCGTCCAGTGCTTCCAGATTTTCCATGATGGTCTAACTTCAATTGATTCATGATCTCAATTATTAAAATCACTCTTTTTAATAATTTAATAAGATAAAATGTTTCTTGAACTTACCAATTTTTAATCATTATAAGTCGGTAATTGTGTATGAAATAGACAGGTTTTTTTATAACACATGAACAAAAAATATCATTTACTAATTTAGCACCATATCCATGTGTATTTACTAATTTAACTGCTCCTGTAGTACCAGTTATATTCGGCAAGTTCGTCATAGTATAACAGAACAGTTCTATTCTCCCTCACTTAGTGGACACAGGTCATCAAATTAAATTGAATAAAGCTTTTAAGGTTATCCACCATACTCCATCAAATTTGCCACATGGTATAGGAGTTCTTTTTTTGCACATTTCTGAAGCCATTGAAATCCATATTCACAAATCAAACCTTTGCATCAAAAAGAAGTTAGTACAACCACTCTGGTTACCTTGATCATCGGTATGAGGGAGTTTGTAGCAGAACTTTGATAGACTATCTACGTATTTGTACCACATTTTGTATATTTTACTTATTTTCAAAATTCATCTCTTGATTCTTACATAACTACTATACTACTGACTATCCATCAAAATATTTTGTTGGCTCTTTCTTATCCTTTTATATATTATACAACGTAGCAACTGATTGATTTTCGAATAATCACCTTGATTATTATCAAACGTTTTTTTCCAATTACTCAATGTTATAAGCGTGAGTCAATTGAAGCTAGACCACCATTGAAAACCTGGAAACACTGGACGGCCGTTTCAATTGACTTACGCTTTTAACTATGAATATTACTAAATCTCCATAAAACCCATTCTGATAATTAATATTCAATGTTAGTTTATAGTTGATATGTCATTATATCTATAAACGTATCTACTCCATGAGTATTATCTCATTATTGTAAATCATATCTTTATTATTGTAAAGCCATAATGAAAAACTAATTGAAAAGAAATTTCTTCGCTCAGTTCGCTCCTTCTTTATTTACCAAATGTCTAAATGGAAATTTTCACTAATATTTACTAATTTGCTTACATTCAGAATATATAAGTAGTATAAATTTTACAAAATCAAAAACTAATTCCTATATCTAATTACTATGACTATTGATCTATATGTACACTGTTTGTTTTTTTCTTCAGATGGCAAGACCATTACAAGTAAAAACTGCTGATATGGAACGTCGTACAGGTCCGTGATTAACTCAACTGTTGTAATTATTCATATACATGTTGTTATTTGATCATAAAAGCTGTTTGTTGTACATTGATTGTCACTCTGTATATATTCTGTAATAATATTTGATATGAATGTTATTTGCTGTTGTTAACAAACAAACATAATAAATGTTAAATGTTGTAGTTAGTTGTGTATATCATTCTTGTTTATAAACTTTAATAAGGGAAAATGTTTATTGTTATAATTTACAGTTAGCCCGAATTTTGTCAGTCAAACTGAATGATGATAGTAGTGAGTTATTTTCATAGATTCGGTTAGGTTCAGTAGAAATATGTAGACATAAACTACCCCATTTATGCCAAAGCATATCAATAAAGTCGTGATAAATATATCATTGATTTCAAGTGAAGTTATTGTCACCACAGACTAATATGTAATTGAGAATTGTTGATAGCCAAGAAGGAATGAACACAGCTATTTCAAAAGTGTTTACGTATTCTTGGAGCTATACGGCTATAACAGTATATATATAAATGGTACTGGTTGAGTATTAACACATATAGTATTATGAATTCATTTCAATTGAAAACATCAACCCTTGGATAATGGTAAAAAATCAAGCTCTTTACAGAAACCAAAATTTCTTAGTCTGATACAGTATGAATTTATGAATATGAGTTACTGAAACGTTCTCACATTTAGACTAAAAGCGCACCTAGTTGATCATGATTTTCTTCAAAATAGTTATACAGATTTGTCGAAGTAATGACACTATTTGTCTTCGGACTATTACTTAGATTTAAATTTAGGCTTAAATTGGAATCCAAGATTCATACTTCTTTCTTTATGGAACTCGTCAGCGCTTTGCACCAACCTACTGGTATGATGGTCTTACTCTTATTTGCTAATAATGCCGATGGTTTTAAATACTAACATTTCATCCAAAAAACTCTCGAGTCTCCAGATATCCACTAAATTTTTCAGCGGGTATAAATGTGTCATATTAGATCCTTCGTACGGGTTGTATGGTTTTTACTAATTAATCGTTTCATACTAAGACAAAACAACCATTTACTACTCTTCATCTTATATGTTTGTCCGGCTTTAGTCAGTTAATTGTATAAATTATCTTTGATTGTAGATTACTTGGCTTGTAAATTTTTAACTAAGCATCATATCTGATGTTCTACTTTGTTTCTATAATGCATATGTTTGTGATAAAAAGCGGTAATACTGGAAAAATTTATTAACACAGATTTTCATACTCAATAAACTTTTATTGTTGTGTTTACTTTTTATTAATTAATCACATTTTGCAATTTCTTTCACAACCAGACCACGTATACGTTAGATATAGAATTAAAACCTTATTCTAGTTCTGTTCTGTACATAAGTAAACTGTAAGAACTTTTCGAGTTTCTTATCACAGTAATAGATGAATGGACACAAAAAATATTTTCACAAATATACAAGCTACTAACTAATTTTGTAAGTAACATAATTAGTTATTCACAAGTTAAGCTCATGATAGAATTATATCACTGATTTCAAAATAGACTGGAATGAATTGTCCGTAGATTAAATTTGATTACAGGTCAGCCTATCAATGGAATGGGGCTTTACAAGAAAAGTATTGGTTTTTCAGATCCGTTGAATTGGGATCCATTTGTTTATGACAACTAATGCAAATATTTATTTGTGTAGAAGGTGGTTTGAGGCAACCAGTAGACAACACGATGTAACATACGTTTGGTGTTAAGAATTATTTAGAACGGTAAAAGGCTCTATACTCCACAAGAAACCTGAAGCGAATTCTCTTGGTGATATAATTAGAGTGAGTAACGATTATCTTTCTGCAAGAACTGAATGTTTTGAGCTAATCTGTAAACTAGCACTAAACCTTTCTCTAGGGTTCGTCATCAACTTCTTGCAGTAGTTTAACATCAAACAACTGTTCACTGAAACTTCGAGTCAGTTAATCAATTCGGTACATCCGACAACTGATGTTTGAGATTCAATAAGTATTACGGTTTAGACGAGATTATATTGATTACTTTTCACTGTTCCGAAAATTCCGACTTTCCTTAATATATCTATTCTGTACCAAGTTTATCAAGCTTTGAATATGAATTTGAGTGCTTATAAGTATTTGATGAATGATAGTTTCGTGTTTAAAGCAATATTTACATCTGATTATATTATTCTGCTTGGGTGGAAATACAATGAAAGATAATAGATACAACTCTTAAGACTATTGAAAAAAGTCATGCATGAAGTATCAGTTTTACCACTCATACAATTAGCAGAAAAAAGTATACTTCCACTAAGATATATATTTGGTGACTAGGAGCTTGATTTCAAGAATAGTTAGCAAGGTGAATCTAAAATCTTGGGACGGAATTTATGTCCACCCTACGGCTCGAACATAAGTCATTTGGTTTCAGAATCTGAACTTTTCAAGTCAGCGGTTAGGATGGATTCGAATCCTCCAGTTATAACTAAATATAATTCCATGTATTTGAATTCGAGCCAAGCTCTGTTTAAACGTTCGTAATATTATCTCCATTTCACCGAACTTGAAGTAAATAGACTATTGTTCGGACCCGTGATTAAGTCTTTAAAAGGGGTGTTTCTTAGCTGCTAAAAAACTACTCAAGCATGAAGTTAGGTTACAAATGTTTCTCTTAGTTTCATGCCAGTATGCTCAAGATAGACCGTATACATATAGTTATCCACCTAACTACTGTGGTTGACTAGTCTTCTAAATCATTCAGTTAATATCCTTTTTTACACATGTGACTTAATTTGGTTTTAATTTTGTTGATTGTTACATTTAATCTAACCCATTAAAACAAATGATTTATTTACTGTTCATGTAGACTGACATAATGAAACGATGTATTGGGTCATCCAAATGTCTAGATATAATTGATTTCTTTAGTTTGTGTAGGGAAATTAAGCCGTTTTATGAAAGGAGTTAGTACACCATATTTTTAAGTTTTATGTTTATCTCATATAAAGAGATAAATTGTCTTTGTTTACTTGATAAGGCTTTTCATAACCTATAACAAAATAAATTGCTAAAAAATATCCAACAGGGAACCCCTACTCAATGATCTAAGCGTTTCGTATCCGTTAAGAAACATGATTCTCTCCCACTAGGTTGCAGATGAACCCTTCTATAAATAGTCTAGAAATCAAACGTAACATGTGTTAGTGTTGCATTCTAGTTTTCATTAGACCTCCTAGTTAATGTTAATTTATAAGTTAACTAAAAAACACATTCATTTATACTTCATACTACTAACATCACGAACACTTTTATTAGGGTAGATTGGTATCAAAATGATTTCAACAGTATAATTTTCCACTAAACGTTTCTTGTTTTCATTTAATTCATGACCTTTCAGTTCACTAAATGACAGATAACAATCTGCTAATGATTTGAATGAAAAAATAAAACTGAATTCCTAAAATAGTCTACAATAATCAATCGTTGCCTTACTTCAATCAATAAGTTAGTATCGTATATATGTTATTGACAAAATATGGACACAACGCTAACTTCTAAACCTAAGTCAATTGATATAGTAGGTTTAAGCAAGATGAAATAGTAAACCCAATTCTCCAAACTCTAACTTGATAAAAATTCAATGCTTTTCTACTCAGACTTACAGACATATAAATGTATATAAATATCTCAGTGGAGATTTTGTATGCTGTAGTACATAAGTGTATATATATATATATATTGATATGTTTATATGAAACTCTACTTGGATTGGTTGAAAAGTTGTCTACAATGGAAATATTCTCTTCTATCCCCTTTTTCTTTGATCAATGAGTATACGAAAATAGGATTCAAAGAGGGAATAATCTTTTCTCTTAATTCTCCTCTTAAGCATTTAGTAATGAGTCTGTACTACGCCTACATTACCCAACTATATCATTGTTATTCAATACTATGAATCTGTTTAAATTAAGTGAGCTCGAACGGGAAAATATATAAGGGCTGATGGTCTGTTTATCTACATTCTTATTCTTCTTTTTTTATGTACATTCATCTCTACTCTATTTTAATATCAATAAATTTAGCAATTGGTCTGTTTAACATACATAAATATAAATATCTCCACGGGAAGACAAGACTCATTGAACTAGCGGGCGTGAGAGAAGAGAGAGAGTAAATCAATAACAATACTTCCTCTAATACAAACATGTTATTTTAATAATAATAATAATATAAGTATTCCATTTTCCATCATATCTAACTAAGTTGATTAGAGTATCTTAATTCCTTATTTCTATGTATATATACATAAATTATTCACATTTGTACAGATGAACTTGAGCAAACAGAACAAACACAAAATTTAACCCAAGACTATAACAGGTTATGTATTTGTTTATATTTATAATAAATAAATGACCATTATGACTAATGAAATATGCTCAATTTTATCTCGAAATACTAACACTACTACTAATACTACCAATATAAATACTACTTATAATTCTGATTGTACCACTGGTAGTATGGATGATATTCTTGATGCAATAGTTGATGAAAATGATGAAGTTATATCTGATGTAACTAAAGAAGAACGAACAAATAACAATAATTATAATGTACACGGTAAAGTTTCAAACAATACACCTTGTTCAAGTTCCATTGGACATTTAACAGCATTAAATAGTAGTTTTCAATGTAATATAGAACAATCAACATCATTGAAAGATACAACGAATACAAATAATGATAATTGTGATGAGGATGATAATAATAATAACGTGAATATTTCAAAAAATAGTTTGTGTATTACGAATATTCCTAAAGCCTTGACCGATTGTTGTCATTCATATGAGTTTTTATTAAATTCTGAACATTTAAAATTAGAAGGAATTGAAGATAGTTCAGTACAATCAAATGCATCAATGATATTATCGTGTAAAACAACCATCACACCATCATCAACATCGTCGGATACAATAACAACATATACGACTAGTAG